CCTGGATGAGCCACGGCTCTGTTGCACACCCCGTCTTGCCCCTGCTGGGCAGAGCCTGCCTCAGCCCCACTCTCTACCTCAATGCAGGGGGCGCTGATCTGCCCCCCAATGCCCCTTCCTTCTCCCCTCCCCTTCCACCACAATAGACTTACCAACTGGATGCAGCTGTATCGGAAATCGGATCGGTATTGGCCGATATGCCTCCTTTTAAAAATTGGCCACCAGTATCGGCCCCCAAAATCTCTATCAGTGCAGCCCTAATATTTTATTCTTTAGTGGAATCAGGAACACTTTTTATTATGTCAGTGCGATGGCTGCTTACATTATTGGGGAGCCAGTCTCTCTGAGTATACACTGTTCTTGTTTAATAACTGTCTCTTGAGGCTGTTCACTACGGCCAGACTCAAAGATTAAGTATGCCTGTCCCTAATACATGTACAGTATACATGAAAAACAATGAACTCTTGAAAACAGTGCTGTCAGTACTTTTGTATCTGGTCTAGTGAATTTAAGTGAAAAAATAATGCCACCTATTACCCAGCTTTGAAACCTTCAATCAAATAATTTTTATTCTGTTGGGACTGAGCATCTGTTCTCAGAATAGTTAAGGAAAGTCCAGTTTGGCAAACTATACTGAGGATTATGTTAAGTGAATTTGCAAAACACGAATTCTGAAAGTTGGACAGTTCTCCAGGGCTAGTACTGAATTTACTAGTAGTTTACTAGTACTACTAGTGTAATTAGGGGTCTACTGAAGTCAAGGTGGCTGCTGGATGATTTCACGGGCAGACTGCAGGCCTGGTAGCCATTTTCAGGGGCAGAGTGCATAAGGCCCCCACCATTCCTTTGACTGGCTGTGGAGCCTCAGTGGCCCTGCCCCTCACTGCTGATCAGCTGCAAGGACTGTCATATGGCCCCACTCCTTCCCACTGGCTGGTGGTGAGGGGCAGGGGCAGGGCCATTTGATGGACAGCCCTTACAGTCAGCAGCAAGAGATGGCAGGGGGGTGGCAGCCATCTTACCATGCCAGCAGCTCCCCTTTACCCCTCTTTGGCAGGCTGCGTGGCTGTACCGCAGTGGCTACAAAGACCGTTGGCTCCCCAGAGGGAGCCAACATTTTATTTTGGTGAGGTTTTTAGGGAGCTTGCCAAAAGTGTGGACCCCATGCTTTTTCATGGGGCATGGTTGAAATGGTATTTTCTGCAAAAATGGCAAAATCGTGATTTTGGTGGGTCCCTAAATATAACTGTAATTTTCCTTTTGGGCTGGCAGTACAGGCTGCTGGTGCTAAACAGGTCATTTTACTTTAACTTGCTCAACGCATATAAATATGCTCAGTTTTCACTGTGGACAATGACGGTCTTGAAAAGGGAAATTTGAATGTAGTTTAGCCAAAAGTGTGTTTAAAAAAAAAAAAAAAAAAATTAGATCTACAGCTCATCTCTGGATTCTTTAACTGGAGAAGTTATTCTTTACTTACATTATAGGGAAATACATAATGGAACTATTTGTTGCTGCAGAATGGCTGCATAGAAATACAGAATGATTGTGTTTCAGTTTTGGGTAAGCAAAAAGCTCAAATTTGGTCTGGACAGTAAGTCTACCACCCATTTGTATGAAAAGCAGTGTGATCACAAACTTCTGGACAGATCGTTAGCCACAGAAACGTTTATTTGCTCTGAAATACCTTCTTATGTTATCAAAGTCTATAAGAGTCTTTGATTTGATTTCTGTTTTATTACCTTAAAGAAGAATTTTTAGGTTGAGACATTAGGACTTCAACCATTTTGATCTGGTAATTCTGCCAAATTTTACTCGGGAAGTAACACAAATTAGAACGTGAGATTAAATGTGTGGAATGATCTCAGTCATGTTTCTCTTATAAATCAAACTGAAACAAAGGTAACAGTAACTTTATATGGTAGAGATGTCCTGAGTTGAACTCTCTTGAACTTTAAGTTGTGTCCTGTCCTATATTATTTAGGTTGTCAGTTCTTTGGGGTGGGGGTTTTGCCATATGTTTAAGTGCTGTGTTAGTTGACAAGGCTCTACATGTCGCACACCTTGCTGGGGTCATCTGACCAGAGCAGTCTTTCCTGCCTTGAGCAGGGGGGCTGGAGCTGATGATCTCTGAAGTCCCGTCCAGCCCCTAACTTCTATGAATCTATGTTTTGTAATAATATGATGTCCTGGCTGAAGGCCAGTTGCTGCATTGACCATGAGATAATAATTAAGTCCTAGAGGAGAGAGCTATGCTATATAACAAAGTGAAGAGCTCTACCAAAGGAATTAACACTGCTGTTCTGTCCTTACGTTATTTTTCCTGCAAGTTTTCCATATATTATCATGTGTCTGCGGTTATCATTTAGTAACACTAATAGCAAAGGCTGATTAAAAAGCTTGTAGCAGAATTGATTCTCCCTATACTTTCTTTTGCTTTCTTAGAGCATATATATAGTATAGTTAGCCTGATTGTATAGTTAGCCTGATTTTGGTTTATTTCTACTTTCTTGGACATTTCACTGTTTTTGGTTTTGCTTTTTCCTTTCTGTTTGAAGGGTAAGTCATTTATCTATGGCAGTGGTTCTCAACTTTTCTGGACTTGAAGTATCCCCCACTGGACTACCTCTGCATAACTTTTGTGAACTGAGTGGCAGCCAATTTCAAAAACTAATTTATACATTTATAGTGCTTACTTCCTTATACAGAGGCTGGGCAGTAGGGGTAGAGGATTGTCCAGGCAAGGACAAGCCTGAGCTTGGCTGGTCTGCTTAGCTTATCTGCTTATCACCTCACACCACAGGATCTAACACTCTGGTTGAGAATTACTGAACTAGGGTGATAGAAGTGGAGAACAGTGAGAGAAAAAAGTGAGGTTCCATGAAATTAATCAACCTTAGTTTTGTCATGTTAAATAGTTTCCTTTACCCTTGTAAAATAAAAGCTCCTCACTGCATCCTTGAACATAAGTCTGTCATTTTTTTTAAAAGAAACAGGCAGAGGTTGAGTTAATATTTGGAACATTCCAACAGAAAATACAATGTATTGCCCATAAAATCCTTTTACTGTAAGAGAAGGCAGTATATTGATAGAAATAAGTTCTTAGTGAACTCGATTCAACGTATTGCTTGAGATATACCAAGAGATAATTTATTACCCAAGTTTCAACATCTATAAATATCACTAACTAAATTTTATGTACTTTTAAATATCCATTGTTATAGTGTTATTTGAAGTTGATCTGTGGTGATGTATTTGTCCCCACGTGTTTGCTTTGCTGCTTGCTTTATTTTATAAAATATGTTTCACATTATGTCTCTAAGACAGAATGTCTGAGCAGAAACATAATTTCCTGTGACTTAGTATCGTTGTCCAAAACAAAAGTCTTTTAGTTTTTTCTTTGTTAAGGTAATCTTAGAGTGATATTGTAATTGTCTTGGTCCAAGAATAATGCAAGAGGCAAGGATTGCTTAGGGTGATATCTTTTTTTATTGGACAAACTGCATAGTTGGGATAGAATTAGACAAGCTTTTGAATGCAAGACCTTCTTCTTCTTCATGATCTGTGCCTCTTGTTTGATCATAAGGTTATGCTAAAGAAGCATTAGCTATTGTATGCTTTTATATAGATTGCATTATGCATTACATAGATATATTTTGAACCAAAATTATCATGTCATAGAACTCTAGTCTGAGTTACAGTTGAGTACACAATAAAAGCTAGGTTCAAGCCCATTTAGAGTTTTTTTCAAAGAAGAAAGAAGGTTTTCTGAGGATGTGGCTGGGGTAGCATTTTGAAAGTTGTGTTAACATTCTTGTCTTGTTTGTTTAATTTATAAAAAATTATTAAGTAACAGTTGCCCTTCATATATTTTTTCTGGTAAGATTAATTTTTGGAAATAACTTATAGTTAGAAATTTATGTTGTATTGCTTATCAAAACTGAGTAGAGAGAGAAAACAGCTATTTTCTATAGTGAGAGAAAATACTGAAAACGAGTCCTTAATTTTGCTTTATTCAGTATGAGAGACACAAAAAGTTTGTGAATGACTACATTTTATACTACGGTGGCAAAAAGGAGGACTTCCAACGTTCAGGGTGAGAACCATTGGAATACAATCTGTTATATAAAACTATTAAATATATTCTCGATCATTTCTCTGGGTTATTAAAATTGTGAACTCTGACCAGATCTTTATTCTTGTATCAATTTTTTAACTCTGTAGTGACATGTACAGACTCTGGAAAATTGTGACTTTGATGCAGACAATTGTTTTGTCCTAACTTTGTATGGCTGACATAAAAAGTTATATAAAATTAATTGGAAGTTTTTATTTTTATGTTGAGAGAGCATGTGGATGATGCATATAACATAATATGGTGTTTGCTAAGTATTAATCTCTCATTCCTGTGGTGATGAGGGTAGAAATTAGCATTCTTATATTCAGTTTATTATGTTGTACTACAAAGTGCTGGAACAGCTTCTGGCAAATGTTTGCCAGTTGAAACATAATATAATTTTTACAAGATAGTTACCAAACTTAACTAATTTAGGAGTGTCTTGTTATTAGAATTGAACATTTCAGACTAACAACTTACTGTAAAAATCTCAGCTGAAGATACTAATGAAATCTGGAATGTTGCCAACCACCCATCCAAAGAAAAAATATGTCAGGTTATACTACTTGTTATCATGAACAGTTTTTGATGCGTCACAGTACCTTGCAATATCCAACTTAATGAATGAAAGAAGCAGTTAAAAACACCAATGTTTGCCAGAGGTCATCCGATTCTTTTATTTACAGTGGTATAAAACTTCATTGTAATGGTATTTTAATAAAAATATACCTTTTCACAGAGCAAATGATAAGACCGATCTTGATGTTATAAGAGAAAACCATAGATTCCTGTGGAAAGAGATTGATGAAGTGGACATGAATTGGTAACTTGGGATATAATAAAACATTATTTTTAGATCTTTTTGCATGTAATTTTTAATGTTTTGTTCATTTGTTTCAATTTGCTTTGCATATTTACTTTTGTGCTTTCAAATTTTGATGCATTTAAAAATGAAAGAAATGTAGGAAATATTGTGATAGGGCTCTGCATTAGAATGAAATGGTGATTTAGTAGTGAAGAACAAACATAGTTAGTCTGTGCAGTCTGTCTGAACTAAACTACTATTCCCAAAACTCCAACTACAACTTCAGAAATAAACTTATAATTTATGTTGTGGTGATTTTAAAATATATTTTTGAACTATATTTTATTTTCTTGTATTCTGTCATTAGATACTCATTTTATCTTCTTATTTAAAATGGATTGTATTATTTGACTGCACTCTGTATTATTCAGTGTACTTAATCAAAATAATGCATTTCTGGTTACAGGGAGAAGAGGCTTGCAAAGAAATACTGTGATAAATTATTCAAAGAGTACTGCATAGCAGATCTGAGTAGATACAAAGAGAATAAGGTATGTTTTATAAATCATTTTGATTAAACCATTATCTTTCATTTAAGGCAGTAGTAAGAAACAATCAAATGCTTTTATGAAACAGGCTCACAGTCCAAGCACAAACACATCACTGGCCATAATGAAGGCTTGAAAGCCACATGCTTTCTGTTGTTTTGAAAAGATTTTTGTGTCTGTGTAAGAAAGGCAGAGAAGTGGAGAGAGAAAGCTGCAAACCAATACTAGGTAAAGCCTGAACAAGCACTGGAGATATGGCCTTGATGTACCTACCAGTTGTATCACTATGGTAATTCCATATTTAAGGAACCTAAGAGAATCTAGTTAATAAGACTGAGGTTTCAGACTTACTTTAAAAATCTAAGTGGAGAAGATTCATGAACTTTAGAATATTACCACCTGCCTGAGCCTAGAGACAAAGCTTTTTTCATTCTGTGTAAGTAAGGAGGATTTCATTAAAATAAACAACCAGACAATATCACCAGTACACCCTCTGGAGTAGTCTGCAAGTCGTAGAAGTTTTGGTTTCCTGCATTCAGTCAAGAACTGGTATCAATGCCAGCTTTTGTATTGTGGCTGTATAAAAGTTATGGCTGTATAAAAGTTATGCTAAATGTGGACATAAGCTGATAGAGGCCAATGCATAATAATGGAACAGTCCTTCAAATACAACCTATATTCAGATCTGTCAGGCACTTCAAGATATTTGGTAAATAGCAAATGTTTGCAGGATTTAACCTAATTTTTTTCTGTTGCTCAGTGCAGAACAACAGCTTTCTTTAAAAACCTCAACAACAGAAAAGTGCTTTTTTTGTTGTTGTTGTTTGTGGATCTTCAGTTTATCTTTCTGTATTTTATACTATATTCTTCAGTCCCTTCCTGCTACAGAAAATAATCTTAGAATCATTGAAGAATAGGGCTGGATGCAACATCAGAAGGCCATCTAGTCCAGCCCTCTACTCAGAGCAGGATCATCTGTATCTGGATGAGTATTAGTTTAATTTGTTCATGAAAACTTCCAAGGGTATTCAAGGGCTGTGGGTGTTTGTAGATGTACTCTGGGAGACAAGGAGCGGCACTTTAATTAGCGCAGCTCTGAGGGTTGTACTAATTAAAACGCCCGAAGCCTCACGTGTATCAG